CTCTTCTCGCTACTCACTGTTTGTTGCATGATCTAGTCCACTACAGTGACGTGACCATATTATATGCACATAGAATGACATATGAATCTGCTATTCATCAGTTAAATCTCTATATAACCTAGACTTATGCAATTTTAGTCCATGAATAAACTTCACTCTTTGTTCAGCCTAATAGAATTTCTGACAGTAATTAGGGATGTCAGTATTTTTTTGGGTTGTAAGTTGAGTAAAGTTACCTAGGTGTATTCTAAGATGCCTTGACAAACTTCAGGTAAATAAATATTCCCAAAAGAGTGATGGGAGTCCAAGCATTTGAGAAATATAAGTGAAACTGAGTAGGATATAATATCAACCCACAAAACAGGTGAGATTTTTCAAATAGAGTTTGGTAACTGAAGATGATCGTTTATCAGTTTTAATTGAACAGAAACTATATTAGTCAGACCGATCAAACTTGCTTAAACTTCCCCCAACAGCATCGAATACAGCAAACAACAAAGGCAGCTCATCCTGTGATGTGCGTCATCTGTCAACCCTGCTTTTATATTTGTTGACATGAGGGAATCACGTGAACCTAACACATCTACTAGTTGTTTACGAAGATTTGTGACACCGTTTTTGACATGTAGCTGAGTTGAGAGAATAAAACTTCAAATCATTTCATTGAACAGAAAACATGTTTACTGTCACATTAAAGTAAAAACTTGAAGCAGGGGATGTTTGGTTCTATGTGCAAACAATTTTGCTGTAAACGATTGATTTGTGTACATGGATGCCATTTCACTGACAAACATTTCCGGTCAGTCTGCGATCATGAACATAGAAAAGGTTTAAAAGATACGTTGTAGTTAGAATTCGACGGAACTGTATTAAGTCTATATTGAGAAATTCACTGGCGTATTTCAAACTGCATTCAACGCTATGCAAAATCCCTCGTATGTTTCGCAAGTGAAAAACGTATTGTCTATCTTCCTTGCTTCATGACACTAGCCTTATCAGGTTATCGCCAGTGAGTAATCACAGATATTTAAGTGAACGAAACAGCTGCAAATTAAGCTTCATAAACTTGTGAAATCTCAAATACATTGACAAGTGAGATACACTGAGGCACTTTTATTACTTAAAATATTTCAAAGTTTAAAATGTGGAGTAATAGTAGAAGACACTAAACTTAAAAGAATACGATCCAGTTAGTCAACAGCCTGGATGCTAACTTTACTTTGGAGTGGCTGCAGGTATGTAGCCGTATGTCAGCACATCGAGATCAAAGTCCTATTGATGAGGGATGAAGGAAATGTAAGTAAGTGGGGGAAAGTAGTAGTTAGTTGTAGAATAAGAGGAAGGCTAGGGCAATAATAATCCAACTGGATATAATCGATATGAAGGTGATAATGTTCAGATAAGGTTGCACCAGTAAGACTGATTCTGAAACATATAGCTTTCAATCTCTTGCTTCAAATTCCCGTTGTCACTGAGATGTCTAAAAGTGAGTCTAAATATCTCTACTATAGACCCTTATTAGGTGGTTTGATACCAAGTTAGTGCCGTTAATGATATAAGCCGCAAAGAACCAAGTTCATATTTTGCATCCACGCAGAGATTCCATTGGCCTCTGACGCAATAGAGCTTATTTGAATATCCACTTCTGGGAGGTGGTCAGAGTGCTCAACCACTTCACTCTCTATTATTAGATATGGCAAGATGACAGATCAGTCTGCATTTGAGTGTCCAGAAATGCATGCAAAACGTTCTCAAATGGTCAATTCAGGCGAACAGAATCCTATGCTTTGCTTCACCATTTCCACCTAGAAGGACAATTTTATTTCATTTGGGAAATTTCCGTGACACGATCAAGTCGAGTCAGATGAGAAGAGTAAGCCTTTGACAAGTTAATTCGTTATAGGAGGAATTCAGAATGTAGTGAATCGACTGCAATGATGTGCACCAATCAACGTACATAAAACTCCAGTTAACTTCCCCTCTGACACCTATATGGCTTTTCGAACAAAGAGACATAAACACGGTGATTTAGTTACCTAGCACCAATTTCAGTACTGATGTGAAATCATTAGATACACGTAGTGAAATGCTGCGATGGTATCAAAAAATGTAGCTAACATCGCATGTTTGTTAGCATGCCTGCGTTGCTGCACGTAGTGCAGATAGAATCCCTCATTGGCACATTCAGGACTAAGCTAGAAACCTATCGAATTCTGTGTTATCAGTTTGCGTATGTGTCTGATGATAATCGAACCTGGGATGTTGGAGGCTTTTTTATCAAAATGACTACCCTATAGTTATCGCAGGAAGATATTTTTCATGGTGAGAACTGGAACAGTCTTTAACTCACATAAGTCCGAGTGGATTATAGAGCATCTGAATTTTTTGCTGTTCCTCCTTTTAAATAACCAACAGCATTTTCCGCCACTGTAATCTAAAACACTGTTAAGTGGAGGACGACAAATATGCCCATTCCATAAACTTTCAAATGTACATCCAACTCTGTGAATCAATTCGCGTATATATTCCAGGGACACAAATTGGGAGAACAGCCTACACGTGAGAGCAGTACATAATGAGCAAATAGTGGACAGAAGACAACAAGCGGATGCTTTGAAATCTTTAAAAATAGTTAGCAAACGGAATAATTCAGTCAGTCACTCAAGCCACTGTAATCAGACTTGTGAAACCAAATTTATGTGTTCAAACGGGACCCGTTGTCAATCGTCAAATAACACAAATGTTTGATCAACTCAGTTCTTTTCATTAGGATTTACAACTTTCTGTTTGTCGATTACTACCAACTCATCTAATAACTGACTTCCGTAATTTTTTTGTTCTAAATTACACATCATTCGCTCTTTTGTTCCAGTCAGTTGTCTACGAAAATTCTGGTCCTAATAAGATAGTTGGATCCCTATTACATTGTTACATGACATTTCGTCTTCATTTTAGTTCAAACAGTTTTTTTTTACTTATCCATATCGTTGTCCTGTTTTCAATGAGCTGAAGTAGGTGAATATTCTGTTATAATTCGACACTGTGAATATATATTCTCGGCTATAAGCAGCTGAAGAAAGCTACTGAAATAAGATAACGAATTCATGTTATTCTGCTTCAATTTTTGTTGCAGCTATTTTCAAGCTGATTAGTGGGGATATGTGTATGATGGTGTCTATTTTATCTTCGATTTCTATCTCGTATGAAATAAAGAATTTTAAGGATCGTATATTAAAATTGCCAGTCTTCTCATGACCTTCATCTCTCTTTGTGATTATGACGGTTACTTGTGGATGTCTTCATTGTTACCTAGACTCGTCAGTGAGTAACAGGCATATTGTAACCGACCAAATGCATATTCGAATCCAAATTATAAGAAATGAAACACAGATGAGAGTTCAGCACAAAAAAGTATTCAAGATAAATACGTGTATGAATAAGTATGAGATAATAACAGAAATATCAACTCAAAACAAGCAACAAGGAACCATTTAGACGGAAATTCTCAGTGTTCACTTTTTTACGAAAGATTTTCCAGACAGTAATGTTACGAATGACGTTGAAAGTGTCATCGTTGCATCTTCAAACTCATAGAAGGAAATGCTACCATAGTACTGATATTTATTAGGAAAATTTTGATGTGTGTGTTATTCTGAGTTTATTTTTGATGGATTTCAGTGGTCTTTGCAAAAAATATGTGATTTATAATTGGTCTCCTTAGATTGAACTGGGTTTATATGAATTATCTCGATTTTAACTTCAGAGAATTGAATTCCGCATGGATACTGATGGCCGTCATCATACATCTTACAGAGCGAACTGTGTTTCCATGTCACTTTATCATACGACTGTTCTTGACTTCAATTTCTAAAGAATGACACTAAGAATCTTATCTACAATGGTCATAACTTAGACTGATTGCAAAACATGTGACAAACTGTGGCGTTATAATTCGAATGAATCCACTTGTATCCCTTACTCTGTTGGTTTTTAACTCTTGACCGTTGATTTTTAGCTTATTCAAGTGGAATATAAATCACAGCTTTCTAAACTATAGTATACACGTTAATACTAAGGTGAGTCCCAAGAAAGACAAAGTGAATACTTCCATCCGCATACAATCGACGTAGTATGTTAAGGCTGATGAACAAACAACTGCAGTTTGACACTGTGTGGTTGTTTGTGAAATCATTGAATAGCAAGTCATGGAGACATACAGATCTGTAAAAGCTGAAGTTTGCAACACGCGTCCGAACAAACTGTGGCTGTGAGGTGCATTAATGTCTTTTCTTCCCACGATAATATGGTATGGCAAGTAATTCACAGTGAAAATTGTTTCATAAACTTAGCGGAACTCCTTGTGAATGGATTTCGATAAAGTCTACTGCACAGTTCACCATCATGTTAACCTGGTTTTTATTGGAGGAGGAAAAAGATTGCTTCAGACATACCGGAAGCCAATCATTTTTCAAACCATCAAACAATGTGAGATTATTAAGTTGTGCAATGACTTCGTTTATTCCATCGAATTTCGTTTCAGAATCCTCAGAGAACGAACTTCCAACAATGAATGAATACACAGCTTTTCAAATACATTTTCGTTGAGCATATGATGTTCAAAAAGATCTATGAAGTAAAGATGAATTGTGCATTTTGAAGATGTTTTCACTGCCTCTTTAAATCATCGTCTTGTTTCATGGGTGGTGCGCATAATTTCATTCATTTCGTAAGCACACTGAAAGTTTTTCATATGTACTTATAAATATCCGAAACGTCATTAAATGTGCTTAACACAGTTTATTGAGGACAAGGAACAGAACAAGAATTAAATTTATTTCATCACAAATCTTCCTTGGAATTCTAGATTAAAGTAATACAAGATTTTATCCAAAGGAAAGCAAGGAATAAAAAAAGCATAAATTTGAATTGGAACCATATTTTGTTCATTCTGTATACCATGCATAACTTGTGTGGCACATATTACTTGTTATATGGCAGCGTCAACGTTCTCCTAGATAATAGCTCCTGATAAAACAATAAGTCACAAAATAAACGTAAATTGATCGCATGACTATTGCACAAAGTATGAAGAGTATATCTGAAAAGAAACTTAAATCAAATTAGAAAACTTGTACTCTGGAGACTTAAAATCAGTAGTTTCTAAATTCAGTCTTCCGGTCTTCTGACTGCGTTAAGTAGAAATCGGTGAATCCTGTGACTATGAAAGTCTTATTGATAGTTGATCTGAATGCATATAATAATCCCTGAAAACGGGTAATGGTCCATTCTGGAAACGCTTTCCTGTCACTCTTTATTCCTCACTAATATACACAAGAATAGCCAAGTAACCACTGGAACTTGGTTATTGATATCGCATCGGGTAAATTTAGTCGGCATGTCTGTTATAAAGTCTCGGTGGTTTATGAAAATAATCACTAGTCAATATTGAATCTAGTGATTTGTCGAAATTATCTTTCTCACTGTCATCCAACAAACAAGAACAGAATGAATTCAATAGTGAATCGGCAGTTGAGCAAATCGAGATGTAGGCTGGATACAGTAATGAAAGCTGACTGCAGATACTTAAAGCGAATCTCAATATAACAAAACCCCATCTCAGAGTCATTGAAGCGTTCAGAGTCGCCTGTAGTTTCTATGTTTGCTCAGACTCAGTATTCTTGGTGATGCCAAAGTTTGACATTCGTACCATGTCTGATGTCACACAGACTCGAAGATCTACACGCAAAGACTAACAAGCTGAGAGAAGAAGCAGCGAAAACAAGTCTCCAAGTGAACTTAAAGAAGACAGAGGTTATGAAAATACCCAACCAACAACAGCATCAACAACAAGCACCAATCAGCATGAACGGGAGAAATCTAGAGGAAGTAGTCTCTTTCACCTACCCAGGCAAGGCAGTACCGTTTGTACTACAGGCGGGTCGGAGAAGCAAGCCAGGTTTTCGTTATTTGAAATCAATGTGGAGATCTTCTGCACTCAGCACAAAGAACAAGATCCGGATTTTCAACACCAACATCAAGTCAGTGCTGCTACATGGTTCAGAAACTTGGCGCGTCATGAAAAGCATTTCCAACAAACTACAGACATTCATCAACAGTTGCCACCTACGCTGAAGACCAGATGGCCAGAATAACTAGAATAAGCAACAAGGAACTCTGGGAACGAACCAACCAAGTACCTAACACCTAACAAATATGTAAAAGGAAGTGGAGATAGATTGGGCATACACCGAGAAGACTGACTGGGGACATAACGCGCCAGGCCGTTGAGTGGAATCCAAAGGGGAAACAATGAGTCGGCGTCCAAGGTGAGGGTGACATGGAGGAGATCATGTGAGGAAGAAACGAAAGCTTCTGAGTAGTCGTGGTGTCAGGTTGAAAAAACAGCAGAGAAGAGAGTGCAATGGAGGCGTGCTACTGAAGCCCTATGTTCCACTAGGAACCCAAGGGAAGAGTAATAATATAATAATCATGCCAAAGCAACAAGAACTTGTTTATGGTCAAGCTGAAAATAATCAAACATTTCTTCATGAGAATAGTCATTCAGTTTACTTACAGAAAGGTATTCACGGTGCTAGAATTCGGATTGATAAATAAGTGATTGAGATTATCATCGTTTAAAAAAGAACAGAGTAATTTATTCGAATAGTTCTGAAGGATGGATTTTGTAAAATTCAATGTCGCAAAATGAATCTTGATCATTGATCAAAAATCTACACCGCTTGCTCTTGTCACCGTATGTTCTGATTTCTTGATGCATTAGTTGAGGGTTGGTGGTTTTGAAATGTCTTTGTTTGAGTGATTCCCGTTTTGATAAGGATCTGATTGATATGAATCAGATCACATCACAGATCACGGTGCCTTGATCGCTTGCTTATTACTCTTGTTTTCATTCTGCGTGTTTGAATTCTTCATAAAACTTGCAGCATTGTAAACGGTGGGAAATTATACAAACTGAAAACAATTCGTGATTCTTCTGGTAAACCTTCACTTTTACTCCAAATGAACTAATATACTACACGATCCTATCTTCAGTATGTACTGTCTTCGACTATCACAGTCAACGAATGTTAAACAAGGTAAAAGTGATTCAATTTTAATAATTTGACAAACAATTGCTACTTGCCATAACGTGGTAATTATTCCTCTGCAGGAAGATGCAAGCAGAAAATCAGTAGCATGATTTCATCAATAGAAAAGTGGTTAGAAGTAAATGTGGTCACAAGAAGCATTAGAAATCAAATGTACTCTGGTGTTTGCTACAGGTGCTTATCTTGCCCACATATGCTTCAGTGACATACTTCTAACGTGGGAAATATATACCCTTAGGCAAAAAATTATAGGTTATCATTTCAATTGATCAGTTGATTAGTGGGAAATATGAATGAATACTAACTTCTTACAGTAAGATGGTCAATCTTATAAGCGAAACAAGCATAGAAATCAGTCTCGGCTGGTCGTAAGCATACAAAGAACTTACCAGTTTCTGTGCAGTTTATCGTGAGTGTAAACTGTTCAAACGTGTTCTCTTGCTAATTTCATCACCTTGAATGACTCTAAGGCTTGTAGCTTTAGCATTTTCAACCAATAGGTATACGGTATTCACGAAACAATTTAATCCTTTGATGAAACAAGAAGCTAAGACAATACGAAGATAATGTGTAACAGTGCACTACAAAATGTATTTCAAGTACTTACTTTGTCCAGTCCCAGATCGATCTTCATTGGAGTAATGAAAATGTCATCAGATGTGTGGCTTACTGCAAAAACAGTTAAAACAATTCTCCAAGCAGAAATTTCACTAACATACAATGGAACCAGAATAATACTGACATGTCATATGTGGATATCGTCCTATTACACTAATGTATTTTAATAACTGTCACATTTCTGCCTGCATACTTTGAAAATTATCAGGCACATAAACAGGTATTTTGGGTAGTAGGAGTGAGTGATAATTATCACAGTAAATTTGAGTTGTTGTTCTAGGATAAACGTTTTGTTATTTCAGATGTATGTGTTGATTACAGAAGTGTTACTGGACAGTTTGAATAAGAGTATGATCAGAAAAGTTGACAACCGATTTTATTATTATATATGATGTCTGGTTTACAGTAGTTTGAAAAAGGGAAAGCTTTTATGGAACATGCATTTGCCGATTTACTTACTGATAAGCATGATAAGATAAGAATACGTCAGTCGCGTTATCAACATTCTCACGTTTGAGTTTCATGTGATACATATCCAGATAGCTCATTCACGAAATATGCTTTGCTAGCATTTACTGAGCAATTCCAGAAAAAAGGTTGAACGAATCCAATTACAGAGGATTTCAGTTCATTCTTCGTGTCTGACGAAATCAATTCTGACGTAACCGGAAAACTTTGTATATCCAGTGTTCACACATGGCAATATGAATCACTCAGATGTATGAAATCCAACTTGAGTGGATCCAATTCATGGATAGGATTAGTAGGGTTGGATGTTACTGCTCAAGTATGTTTCTCAGTGGTCGCGTCCGCCACATCAAAACGTTGTACTTAAGAGTGTCAATTGCATAAAATTATATGAAAACTACTGGGAATATATCAGGCTCACAATGGTACATTAAGTGATTACAAAGACTCATGAACATTCCTTCTTAAAGATACAACTTCAGTGACTCAGAAATCGCCATTTCTCTACATGAAAATTCAGTTTCGTTTATTTTTAAAGGCAGAAATGAAGGCAAAAATCAATTTTTAATTAACCACACGAATAGACTCTTACTGCCATGTTGATTTGCTTCTGTAAAACGAAGTAAAGCCGCAGAATGACCAATGTTCAATGAAGAAGATGATAAAGGAAGTGTCTTGATGTTTACTTGTGCTAACTGAACTGTCAGTCTCTTCTAATCATGTTAAATACCAGAAAACTGTTTCACGGGGAAATATCTACAATCGTTACATATTTTGTGGCTCTTGAACAACTAGCAGGGTTTATCAAGGATAAGAACAGAACATTTAGTAATTCTATGAATTGAAAGCATTTTTCGTTAAAATCCATTGAGTGAAATGAAGCCGCTAATAAAGGCATTTCATATTTACATATGCAGGTCGAGTCTTGAGCGTGGTTCATTTCAGATGAAAGGAATTATTCTTTAATTGTGGCTACATATAAAGTCTAAATGTAGTATAGTTAAGGTTTATTGAGTGTCAGAAATATGCTGATTCAAAACGTATGGCATATTGACTTACGAAGATTCAGTTTGTGCTAAAGTAATTTAGAGAAAAGAGACTAGAAGAAAAGATTTCATATAATAACCAGTTTTCATTGACTAAATGACAAAAAACAGTCACTCCATTCAGTTTCGACTTGTAAAGTAACTCAGAAAGACGAGTAGGTTTCACATAAGAGTGAAACATAATATTCTGAATAACTTTTAGATATGAGCACATACATTTCGAATTTCGCCAAATCACATTTATTATTTTGGTATAATATTCGCTAGCTGTATTTTATTATCTGTTGATTGAAAAAAACATTTCTTTGTCCTTTCTACAAATATTGGTGACATCATAAATTGAATTTCTCTATTTTATCAATTACAGTCAGAAAGTGTGATGAAATTCTGGCAAACATGTACGAGAAATTAATGTAGATAATAACAATGATGGTGAGTGACAGCGTATTGGCGCAATCGAGTGTTAACTATCCATTGCTCGTGGTGAATGCCTCCATATGATACAAAGTTATGACATTTCACTCACCATCTATAGAGTTTCATATATCCAAAAGAGGGAAATGTATCTATTAAATCTTTTTATTCACCTATTTTGTTGGCAATATCAAAGAAGCCTCAATGTACCATCAAATAATTCTCGAAAAGATGCTTCTAATACAGCTTATACACGAATGAACAATAAGGAATTACTAAGTTATACAAAGGAAAAGCTGACTCGTATGATATTCTGTCTAATTTCATTATTTATTTGTTTACAGGATATTCCAGGTACATAGAATCACGGAATACTCAAACAAGTGAGTACTTTAACATTTCAACAGGAGTCTCTTAAGATGAAAATGAGGAGAAATGAAAGCTTAACATTTATTCATAATGCTTCTTTGACAAAATGAATACAACTTTAATTGCGTACCTCCAGCTGCTTCATGAAATAAAGAATCGAAATCGATGATGAGTATGATGTCAAAGTTATCAAGGAAGTTCAGTCTTGCAGAAGTGGTTTGAATCTTAATGTTTGACGGTAGAGCTTAACTGCCGACGTCACCCACAAGTCTGCATGCTTTTCAAAGTAACAATATTTTTAAACTTATGACAGACAACAATGACATCATCATATCATTCAGGTTTAAGGGAATATGAAAAGAAATACGGAGTGACAGTTATTGGAAAGTAGTCGAGTATATAAGCATAAGGCTTGAAACGACTTTATATCCTGATTACTGATGCAGGGTTAAGCTGCTACAAATCTGGTAAGTCATTTAAAGCATTAATAGATCGTTACTGCTTTCACCTGGTCATAAGGCAGGTAACTGAAACAGCTGAAATACATCAGTGTAAAAATACTCAACCTTAGTTCATACATCCATTAATGAGACGAAATCCATTCATCTAAACGAAATATGATCCAATAGTTGAGATTTCGGTATAGTTCATTTTGTATGGAAATGTTTTGACAAGGCTGAACAGCAGTACTGTTGCGTCATAACTTGACTAATTTTAAACCAAGAAATCTTATGAATTGACGACATAAGTTTAAAATTTGAAAACTGCTCGTAATTTCATAGAGAATCAAGGTCAAATGTATACTACTGAAGACGTAAAGGAAGTAGTATGTAGCAACTAGTCATTCATTAGATGAATTTATATGGCAGATACACAAGATAATAAAACTCACTATTACCCTCTGCAACAGCACTGAATATAGTTAACAAAAGAATCAGTGATAAAATGAGAGTATATTCTATTCGCATTCTGTGTTGAGTTGATAACGAAATGATACATTATCTTCCTACACTGCTTTTATACTGATTGATAGAAGTAATCAGATGGACTTATCAAGTCTACTCGTTGCTTACTGAAATTTATCAGTTACTTTTTGACAAGCAAATAGAGTATTAAAAAAAACAATACACATATCATGAATTGAATTTAAATCATTTCGTTAAACAGACAACATGTTTACTTGTCATATCGAAGCTTTGACAAGAAACAGAAGATGTTTGATTCCATATGTACACAATTTTGATGTAAATGAATGATTTGTGTACATGGATATCATATAACTGATAAACCGTTTTAATCCAGTTTTTGAATGTGAAAAAACATGGGGGCCTGAGGACAACCTTGGTTTGGAATGCGTAGAGCTGCTTTTAGTTTGTAATAAGAAATAATGTCATATCTGAAATCAATATTTAATATTTTGTGAAAGCATTCATAGATTTCACCTTCCCGAATAATCCTCATTTGTCATCTGACTAGATTTTAATTACTATCTTCAGTGTTATTATAGCTGCAGTATGATCGCAAACAACTGTAAGTGACAAATATTTCTTCATTAAACTGTCCATATTTTGGAAATCTGTCATACTCTGATGTTTGCTAAGAAAATGTCTACATCTCATTACCATTTAGAGGTGATTCCATAGCTTTGTTGTGAGGAAAAGACTTGATCGGCCATCTGTAAAACGTATATGCAGCTAAGGTCATCATTGTAGAGAAGACCAATCCATGTCGCACAAACCGAAAACATATAAACGATTACATCACATCCCACGTGTTATCAATTTACATGTATTGTGGACACACTATATAGGGGGAGTAATCGTGATATGCAGTTAAGGAAGGCTGAACATGTACCTAAGTGGACAAAAACAAGTATGAAGTGTGCATTTCATTTTCCTACCTTGATTTTTGCAACTCCGAATAAATTAAATACATATGATAACAATTTATCGCACTCTACCCTCAACATACCGTTAAGTTGGCAATATTCAACGTGTCATTAATGCATAATGGTTTATGCTACCAAAATCGCGTAACCACTGAAGGATGGCCAGATGTATAATGGAATAAATCGAAGAACATAGACAAATTTATCAAAAGTCATAGGAAGGGAGAGTGGGGGTGTTGAAACAATAATGAAACTTGGAATGAAGATTAACATAAAGATAATCTGTGGAGACATCTGTAGTACAGAGATTTATTCAGAGTCAAATCGAATACAATCGCATATTAAAGATTTATGTTATCAAGCTGACTGCAATCAGAAAGTTTACATGTCATTACACGACACAGATTAACATTGACTTCGTGCACATATCCAATATTTAAATCTCTTATCATTTCCAGTGGAAACATTTTTCAGCTAGCACTTCGCACTACGTTCCACATTCACAAGGTATGAACCAAACGCAGTGGTCATCTGAGTTGGTTGAATTTAGTTTTCGGTGACCGACTAACCTTTCCTTGAACCATTAAATTTGACTTTCGCATTACTGATGTGGTAGTTTCATGAAACATTGACTACGCTACGACGAAAACCTGAAGACTTAGTGTGTCATCCGATTTCAGTGGTCATTATTCTTAGACAAACAGCAGCTCAGTAAACTGAATCATCAAATAAAAATCGAACGCCACATCAGCGCCACAAATGGAGTAACTTGAAGATAGTCAAGTGAACTCAAGATATTCTTGGAGAGATTACCTTGGTCACTAAACTACCAAAGCTATTTTGAATTACCAATCAATCCATACTTTCGGGTGAAGCACCAGCATCTATTAATCTTGGATCAGAAATTTGTATTATGTTAGTGAGAAGCACAGTTGAACACTTCTGAAATCGGAAGACAGGGTTCCAAATAATCTACTGCTTCCCACCTGTCCCAGCTTTCTCATTTACATACTTATAGTTTACTGAGTAATCATTCGTGATATGGTTAATACCACTGTGGTGATATGGGATAGGAGAGACTCTATAAATACATCTGTGAAAGCGTGAATTAGGAATGAGCCATTAATAAATGGCAATCTGAGTATAATTAAGGTACGCCATCAGCCTCATTCAGTCGTTAGGTTTAGATTCCATTTATGCTATCTAAGCAGAAGAAAGTGGAGATAAATTGGGCATACAGTGAGAAGGTCAGTTAGGGACATCATGCGCCAGGCCAGGCCCTCGGGTGGAAACTAAATGGGAAACGACGAGTTGGACGTCCAAGGGTGATATGGAGGAGATCGTGTCAGGGAGAAACGAAAGCTTCTAGGCAGTGATGGAGCCAGGTTCCAAAGACTGCAGAGAAGACAGCGAAATAGTGACATGACACCGAAGCCCTATTTTCCACCAGAAACATAAAGGACAAATAATGAAGTAAATATGCTATCTAAATGTAATTCTGCCTAACCTGACCTACTTATCTACCTTTGCGTTAAAATCACATGCAACGACAACTACATTCCAAATAAAAGTGTCAGGTTGATTTATTTCACATTTCCAGGTTTTGAAGAATACCACATACCTCAGAGTGTACACAGCTCCCAAATGTGATCAATTATGAAATATCCCACACTGAAAAAATATCCTGTCAGTAATTCTGGATACTTCTGCACTTCTATCAAATGTAAGTATATGTTCAATGTGTTTCATGAACTTACGTATGGAATTTGATCGAAATCATTGTTCCTTGTTTGAGTTTGCGTAAACTTATATAAATATACCAGGGAAGTAATTGAAAAACTCTACTGAATATGGTTTACTTTCACATGATGACGCATAAATCTAGGCTAATCACAACGTGAAGGCTGTGATCAGGTAAAATTGACATATTCACCTACCAAACCTTTGAAAAGACTTCAAACTCAAATTCATTGCTCCAAAACACCTGATAACCAAGCTCTTTCGTGTTTATCCGAAACGGACTTCAGACTTATAACTGCAGATGAGTAAACGAGGTCTGAAGTTTGAGTTACCTAATCCTAATGAAGTGATGTATCACAGTGATGTTTTTGCTGACTTTCCACAGCCAAGGATTTAAAATTATATTTTGCGGAATGCGGCAGTGACTATTAATCTGCACTCAAAGCTATGAAGATTTTGTCAACCCCTCTGGTCTGGTGAATAACCCTCGGAAGCAGTCGAATATATATTTTTAGTCCTTGCCAAGTGTCTGCTAAGCACGCTATCAGAAAGAGTTGAAATGCTTGACTATAATTCTCTGGAAACCTGAAGCCTTCCTTTACTGTCTGCTTTTAGTGGTTATTCTTAAAGATATATACTAGGGAAGAACAAACAGCAGAACAGTACACTAAATCATCGAAGGTCAACAGGAAATCCTGCCAGCACCATAAATGGTGTAATGTAGAGAAAGTCAGGTGAATTTAAGTTATCCTAGGAGAGATTAACTTGGTCACTGAACCCAAAAAGTTGATTTGAATTCCTATACTTTCGGGTAAAGCACCAACATCGATCAATCTTGGATCAGCTGTCTGCATTGTAGTAGTGTGTAACACAGTCGAACACTTCTGAAGTCAGGGTTCAAAATAATCTACTGCTCACTGCTTGTCCCGGCTATGTCATGTACATACTCCAAGTGTACTGAGAAGTCATTCGTGACACGGTCAATACCAATGAGGTCAGACGGGGTTAGGCGACACTCTATAAATGCATCTGTGAAAGCGTGAAATCGGAAACAGGAGAGTGAATCACTGAGTTAAGGATCATAGACACCACCACCAAACAACCTACGATTATGTCATTATCCTGTCATCCGATTATCACTCCTTTTAAAATCCTAACCCTAAATCTGCTGAGTTCTACTAATTATCATCATTCACAGTAGATTAATGGAAATGTATGTTTGAAGGTGTCTTCACGATTTTAGTTTTTCTATTTCAAATGAAAGAGAGAATTTATTTATTCTGATGTTTAGATGCTCACAAACTCATGACGCCTCCATTTCTGATCTTCATGGTTTTTTATTTCTAATGCTTCCATTGGTACCTAATCCACTAAACGACCAAATGACACAGTGGCACTGACCAAAATCGCACACCAATCACAAATTATCAGTAAAATTCAAAACGTGAGTTCATATCAGTAGGACAGCCAAGCCAAATACGTGTGCTTTCAATAATAAGATGATAGCGAACAAGTTAACTAACACAAATGGTCATCACGACAACCAACTAGTCACCGCATTAGGAGAAATGCACACACATCATTTCTTTCTGAAGTTTGTGCAGACAGTTTTGTCGAGAAAAACACTGGATACTCAACCGTTGAACTTTCATATTCAAAGTAAGAAATGTCACCAAATTATTAAAATGTATCCCATTTTATCTTACTCTCCTATCAAGCTTGGTTCGAATGTAAATTCTGTTACTTTTCGTGTCATGCAATTAATCTACTTTCTCCAGATGATTTCAGGAGTCGTTGCACAATAGCTGTGACTCATAGTTGATCTCCTTGAGTTGACCTGCATTTCGATGAATTGTCGTTTTTTTTAAATGCAGCTAACAAAATTCTGCACAGGTATCGAAAGTCGTCATCATGCATCTCTTACTGTCCTTCCATATTGTTTTCTTAAATGATCATTTTCGACTTCAATACTGACATTCATCATATCTTGAGACTTATTACAAAACGCTTGACTAAGTGTGGCATCAAAACTCTATTGGATACACCTAGTTCCGTTACTCTGTTGGTTCTACGCGTATCACACTTGATTACAAGCACATTCTATTAGAATAGAAATCATCGCTTTCCGGAATCAAGCACATATGTTATTGCCAATCGACGCATCTATTCGAATATAATCGATAAAATACGGTGAAGTTGGTGAACAAGCATTAGCTGCTTGATACTCTGTAATTGTTTGTGGGCTTAGTAAGCAACCACCACTAGAAAATTACATACTTGTAAACGTTGAAACTTACAACACGCATCTGAGCAAACTGTCTGTTTTAGGTGTTAACAGTTCTAGTTGGCAACATCAGTGTCCTTCCTATTCGCCATAATGTGGAATGTGAACACCGGTAGATGACTAGCAGCTTGATTCATATTCTTAGCGTGACTGACTATGTGCGGCTTCAGATTAGGTTTCCTTCGGTATTAATCAATCTGTTGACCTAGTAAACACTTGAGAGAATAATAGGCTGCTTCAATCCATATCAGAAACCTATCACATTTCAAACCGTCAAACAAAATGTGATTAAAAGGCAGTGCAATGAATTTCTTTCTTCTGTTGAATTTCATTTCAGACTGATCAAAGATTGTACTCATCAGAGTGATGGTATGCATAGCTTTTGGAATTTATGTAAATTGTCTGAACCGTGTAATGTATTTGCGCAACACATTTCGAACTATCTGATCACACACGTACTTGTCATAGGTATTTATATAAAAACTCATGAAGATAAGGGGTGAGAAAATAAAAAGGGGTCAGGTAGGAAGGCTGACTCAAAGGCCGAATAACAATGAAAATCAATAGAGCGAAAAAATAATAGTACATCGAACTTAGTTTTTCAATAGTTGAATTTACCAAGGAAGGTTTAATGTGACAACAAATTGTTTATGAATACATAAAGGTGGTTTCAACTTCCTAATAGCTAAGGCTTCAACAAATTTCAGGATCCCTCCCCAACATGTTTCGTAAATAGGTGTAAGGGAAGTAGCCACATCAATCTTGTGACCTGTTTCAACGATATGTTTGGCGATCGAAGAACTTGGACGTCTGCTACCAACATTTATAGGTTCAGGTGATTTAATTTGCTTCTGAAGCCACTTTGGGATATGTTTCTAGGCCCTTACTTGCATGGATCTATTAGTCCTCCCTATGTATATGTCACCATACGTACATTTGAATTGGTAGATACAATGGGATGTGACATTATCGTTCACATGCTGTGGGGGTTTGGGGAAATATAAGGGCTTCGTGGTTTCGATTACTCGAACCCTGGCTGCATAGTAAGTCCTTCTAACAGCAGCGTTAAGTCTCTGCTTAAGAATTGCACTCTGTGAGTCACCTTTGTACGGAAGGCTGATGAAGACATCCTTCTTTGGGACTGACTGCAGTTCTAGTTTTGACGCTCTACTGATTTTGTTCTGCCTGATAAATGTTGATGGATAGTTATTTTCCAACAAAATATCAGTCAGTGTTCCTCTTTCATCTTCTAAAGTATCCTCGGTGCATATTCGTTGAATTCTGCTGAATAGGCACCTTACTAACGTTCGCTTGTACTGAACTGGGCAAAAGCTATGCTAATTCAGATATTGCCCTGTACATTTAGGTTTTCTGTAGATAGATCGTTTTATGGATCCATCCTGCCTTCGACTAATTAATATATCTAGGAACGGCAAGCAGTCATCTTCCTCTCTTACACATGTCAAAGATATGCTGTTCTGTACTTCGTTCAGTCGGTTTAGAATTGAAGTAGCCTGATTTGAGTTTTCACAAATAATCAGGATATCGTCAACATATCTTCGATACAGATGGGCTTGGTCTGTTAAGTTCTCGGCTTCGTTCCCGATGTGTGACATAAATATGTCGGCTAGGAGGGGACCTAAAGGACTTCTAATAGCGACACCATCAATCTGGCGGAAATGATGGCCCTCAAACGTGAATTTAATTTCAGATGCATCCATCACTAGTCAAAACTTCATTAATTATGCTTAAGACAGCTTGTTGAAGACAAGGAACAAAGCATAAATTGAATTTATTTTGTCAAAAATCATACTTAGAATTGCAGAATAAAGTAATACAATATTGTACAGTAAACAAGGCTAAAGCGAAGAAATAGTTATCGTTTGTAACTGTATTCATTCTTCGTACTATGCATAACTAACTTCTCTACAGCTCATCACATGTTATTTCGCCTGTTCTATATTACCCTAAAAAATCGCCCCTATTAAAACAGAAAACCATAAAATAAGCATAAATGAATCACTTGTGCATTGTATAAGGCAAGAAAAGTATAGTCAAAACCAAATTGAGAACGAAATCCAGACACATTACTTTTCTACATTCAGAATTAACACGTTCAAAATTCTTCTGCCTTCTAGTCTTCTCAATTGATCGGCTCATATTTCATCTCCGAAGCAAAGCGCTAAATCATAACCATTGTAATCAGTGATTGTCTTATGCTAACAAAGCTGTATATTTCTTGATGCCAGATGATATGAATGCGTATCATAATCAATGAAGATAGCGAGTGATTTATCCCTCAAAAGTTTTCAGAAAGATATCACTGTTTGTCACGATTACTGACAATGCATCTAGAAAAGTCAGTTAGCATATTTCTAGTGAGGATTTAGTTGTCTGAGAATATAATAACTGATTGGCATTGAAATCTGTAGTCTACCGAAATTTATCTTCTCATTAAAAACCAACTAAAAACTTTGATATGAATATGAGCAATACATTCTGGTTGAAATGTCATCCAATAACTTAAACTGTATCCCATTATCATAAATTAAATAAACCGTCAAACATGCGATTATACTCTACCACACCGCCTAAGATTTACTCTTATATTCAACTAACAATATCCCAAAGAGTAATCCACAGCTGGTCAAATCTAGGTGAAGGCTGGATACAATAATGAACGGTGTAGGCAAAACATAGGCATTCAGTCTCAAAATAACAAAAATACATCGATTCATAATAACTTTTAGATATGTTACTCACAGTACGGTATTCCCTAAGCTGGAAATTTAGATTGACAAATAAGTGATTCATACGATTATCGTTTTGACAGGAATGAAAAGACTACTCAGATAGATTTCATAGGTGGATTCCTCAAAAATCAAAATACACTCTCATAGTCAGTCTTTCTCACTAACTGAAATGTGCATACTTTCTTCGCCATTCATCCTGATTTCCTGAGTTATACGTTGAGGAACATTGGTTTCGAAAGTCTTCTGCTTGACTGACTGCTGTCCAGCTAAGACCAACTAGCGGTGTTTTAAACTTAGATTACACTACAACCCAAAGCGCTATTACTTCTGCTTCACATATACAACAATAATGAGTCAACCTCTCTGCTATATGTCCTGTCTCCGAACATGCAACTTGACGAATGTCAACGGGCAACAAAACCAAGTGAAGTTTAATGCTTATCAAAAATATTTATGACTTGCCATATCACAGCGAGTAATAATCTGTGTAAAAATGTCAAAAAACAAAATGAGATTGAGAATGTTAGAAGCACAACCATGGTTGGACGTGCTTGTGAACATATGAAGCCAAAGAAATGTTATTTGAACAAGTGTTCGCTGTAGGCACACACCTTGTGACACCAGTTTCACTCACATATATCCAAAATGGGGTATATTCACTCTCAGTCACAGTATAGGTTATCATACTAGTTGATCACTTGTGTAGTGATAAGTGTGAACGGATGCTGTAGTCTGATATTAACCTGGTTAATCTCATGAGCCAGTCAAGCACGAAAGCAACTCTGGATTGATTCAAACCCCAGAATGAATTTATCAATATACGTGAAGTTTGTTGAGAATATGGTCTGTTCAGAGGTCCTGCCTTGCGAAATTATTGTCAACTCCAGTGATACTCAGGCGTATGGCTTCTGCATTTCTAATGAGTGTGTATCCTGAATTCATTGAACAATTCAACCTTCAATTCAGGTTAGAAGACCACACAATATAAAGATAATTTGTAATTATGCACTTCACAAACTATGCGAATACTTACTTCGTCCATTTCCAGGCCGAGCTTTTTCGGAGTAATAAAAATGTCATCAGATCTATGATTTATGGCTATAAGTTTGAATAATTCTTGAAGCAGAAATTTCTATACCACAAATTGAAAGCATACGAATGATGATGCTTCACTATACAGCATCTACCTATTACTCCTATATATTAATATGATTGTCAATCACCGCCTTGAAAGGTATTTTCAGTAATAGGAGTGAATCCATGTCAGAGTAACTGACAATATTGTCTAAGGAAAGACTGTTTGTTATTTAGAAGTATGTGTCCATTGCAGAAGCGTTTCTGGACGGTCTAAGCAGTAGTAAGATATGAAGGATTAACCACCGAATTTGATGATGCTTGGGGTGCCTAATTCACAATATTTTGAAATGAACAGCTTTCATACAAATCCATTTATAAATTAACTCTTATCTGAGCATGAAATGAGAGTATATCAGTCACGATGCCAACGTGTCATGTTACATATGTCGAATTAAATTATTCATGATATCTGCTTTGTGGGAATTCAGTGACCTCAATTGGCAAGTCAGCAGAAGTTGCTGCACTTATTCCAGTATTATAGTCTTCAATTCACCCCTCATATCTGACGAGAGCGATTCTGAATTAACGCAAGTAATTATTGGTGTTTAGAGATCAGACTTGTGGATTTGAATCTCTCATATATGTGAAAACAAGACTTGAGTGGAACCAGTAAATGAATATCATGTTGGGGAAGGTTGTGCAATTGCTTATGACTATCTACCAATGTGTTCGAAACTGTCACATTGAAAGCCTATCACTGACTGTATCCATCTCATAAAATTCAAGGTGAGCTATCAGAAATATATCAGGCTAACAACAGTACATAAGTTGGTTATGGAAACATCAGAACATTACCACCGATAGGTTGGACATCCATGGTCTTTAAACTCTCATTTCTATATATCCAAATTTAATCTTTTCTATTCACAAACAGAAAAATGAAGTCCGATAAATGTTTCACCACACAGACTAACTCTTACCTCAGAGTTGAAGTCGCCCTTCAATAACCAAATGAAGTAAGCAAATTAATTAATGTTCAGTCATCGCAATGACAAAGAAACAGTCTTAATGTTAAATCCTACTCCTTAAATGATCAGGCTGTATTGTCTGTAAATTAGACAGGGGAACAATTTCGCTAGAATATAGCTACACTTGTTTCAAACTTCGAAAGTCCTCATGCATTCTCAATACAAATCTTTTGAAATGTATATTGGTGACAAGAGAACATAGATTTCTAATAAACTTAGTTTGTCTGTTGACATTTATTGAATGGAATGAAGCAGTCACTGGAAACGTTCTACATGTTCTCATCTAGGTCGAAGTTCGACCTGTTGGTTCATTTGTGATAGAGGGAAGTGTTCATTAGTTAACTGTAGCATCACCTAGACGAACTAACGGTGTAGACAGCGGTTTCTTCACAGTGAATCAATTCAAAACTGTATAAAAAATTTCTTCATGGTTTGGACTAAATTTCCATCACCGGAGATCATTTCATATATATATATATATATATATATATATATATATATATATATATATATATATATACGGTGTACAGCAAACCTTTATCCGCCTCATTCAACAGCTATATGAAGATGCCTCATACCAGCCAAGTAATTCACAATGGAAAGCTCAGTGATGCCACTGAAGTGAAGTGAAGACAGGAGTGAAACAAGCTTGCCTACTATCCCCCATGATATTCCTGATTGTGGTCGACTGGATCGTGCAGCAAACAGTGGGGAGCGAGAAGAGGGGGATACGCTGGCTGGACTGCGGAAAAGAACCTAGAAGACTTGGATTTCACCGATGACTTTTGTATGATGTTACATAAACTTGAAGATCCACAGGAGAAAACTAACAAGTTGACAGAAGAGGTGAGGCAGCGAGACGGGACTTCAAGTGAATATAGAGAAGACAGAAGTGATGAAGATACCCAACCAACAACAGCAACAAACTCCAATCACCATCAAGGGGAGAAACTTGAAGGAAGTAACCTCCTTCACCTATCTGACCAGGTAGCACTGTTTCAACTACAGGCGACACAGGGACAGACGACGATGTCAAAGTCAGAATCGGAAAAGCGAAACAGGCGTTGATCAGCCTGAAACCAGTGTGGAGATCTTCTGCACTCCACTCAGCATGTGGAACAAGATGGATTGGGCATGCACTGAGAAGGCCGATTGGGGACATCACGCGTCAGGCCAGTTGCTCGAGTGGAATCCCCAGGGGAAGCGACGAGTTAGCCGTCCGTGGTGAGGGTGACATGGAGGAGGTCGTGCGAGGAGGAAATGAGAGTTAGTGGGCTGTTGTGGAACCAGGTTCAAAAGATCTCAGAGAACAGAGGTCACTGGAGACGTGCTACTGAAGCCCTATGTTCCACTAGGAACCCAAGGGACTAATAATAACAAAATAATAATTATATATATATATATATATATATATATATATATATATATATTACACTGACTCACATGGTGGATAGCTTTTCTTTTACTATGGAAAATGTTTTATGAAAGAGAGAAAACGAAGTGAATTCATATATACATAATGCCAACTTTCTATTTTCTGATTGGTGGAAGGGAATCACTTAACTTAGTCTCCAGTTGAGAATTTACTCAAAAAGTTGAGTTTGTAAAGCACAAGGGTCAAACATCAAACTTCGACCATCAAATACGATCACATACAATCAGAAATGATGGATTGTGACTTTCACTAAATCACATTTACTATCTCGGTATGATGTTTATTGGATGTCTTTGACAATCTCTTGATTGAACAAACAATTGTTGTCCTCTCCGTGAATAAACATGACGTGATCATTTCATTCCTTGTAACTGGTGATAAAAAGTGGTATTATATTATGGTAAGCGTGAATGCACAATTGGGTTACAGATTATTAGCGCAATCGAGTGTAGTTTGTGCACTACTCTGCTAAATACTTCCACATTATGCAACGTAGTCATTTTTCACTCACGAACTATACGGTTTCATGCACATAGTGGAATAAATCATATCCCCTATGCTCATGAAATGAAGCTATCATGTATACTGTTGGCAGCGAAGAAGCGAACAGCTGCTGAATAGTTTTCGGAAGGCTATTTGTAATGCTCCATGTACAGTAGTAAACATTAGTGCATTACGAGGAGTTGAATCATTTGACATTCTGTTGTGCAACACTGAGATCTCGTTTAAGTCAGCTATTGTTTACAGGATATTCTAGGTGCATAAACTGACGGGACGCCCATATAAGTCAACACCTTAACATTTCAACAGGAGTCTCATAAGTTGGCGAATAAAGAATTGGAAACCTAAAATTTATTCCAGGCGTTTTTTTGACAAGCTAAGAAAGCGTGCATAACGCAACTTCAGCTGCTGAAGGCTGAAAGACATTGAAATTGCTGATGATAATTATGATGCATGCAGCTCAAAAGACGTCCATACGTGAGATTCGTGATTCGAAGCATGATATTTAAGAGTAGGTGTGAACTGCAGACATCCCCTACAAACTTGTGTACTTTTCAAAGTGACTAATGGTAAAACTTACGTCAGATGTCAGTGACCCCATCAAACCAGTTTAGTTTGACAGAAAATGGAACGCACTTCACCCTGACAGTAATAGCATGGTACTTGAAAGCATAAAGAAAAATGCTACTCAATAACAGGCTTCTAATTACCCCATTTCGTGACTAAGAATGTATTGTTAAGCCACTGTTACGCTGGTAGGCGCTTTGAGACTTTAACAAGTAGTAACTACGTTCATATAGTATGCACCACGTTGCTGAGCCTCCTAGATTGATGGCCACATTCCAAATACGATCCATAGGATTTGATCCGCACTCAGGTCCAGACAACATGAAATCGGTTGATCTCCTGTACCCAATCAATACTTTCACAAAGTGAGCAAATAGGTATTTGTGAAACAGGGACATGAAATCAACATACAGTTCGACAAACTTAATTCATACGTCTAACAGTGATACAATCTTCTGATCTAAATATTCCACATATTTTGGAATCAAACAACTACAAAGTAAAAGAAAATGTGATTCTTTGTTCCAAGTAATCAGATTTCAGCACAGTTATTTGTGTATCAATGTGCTTTGAGAAGAAGGGCTGAGTAACAGTAGAGTTGGAAGATGATTTGACTAATTTCACACCAGTAAATCTTTTGAGTGAGTTACATGAGTGCTACCGCTTCAAATATGTGGTCGAAATTTTAAGGGATATGGTTGAGAATCATGAACAGTATCATGAATAAGTCAACTAAAGACTCCAAAGGAGCAGTGTATAACAACTGATCATTCATGAGATGAATTTGTAGAGAAGATACACAAGATAATGAAACTCACTCTCACCTTTTTGAACTATATTGAATGTGACAAACAACAAAATGAGCGATAAAATGAGAGTAAACTTGTCTCTAATCCTGTTTTGAGCTGATTATGAATTGATGCATCATCTCAAAACTCTGTTTTTATCTTAGTTCTAATTCCTACATTGAACAGACAACAGAGACAATAAGCAGAAGATGCTTGATTGTATGTCTAAATAAGGTTGCCTTGAATGACTAACCTGTGTACATGATAGGCATGTCGCTCCTGCAGTTCACAGATGTGAACAAAGAAGAATTGTGCAGGGAAGGCTTTTACATAAAATGCACAAAGCAGCATATAGTCTATAATTAGAAGTTCGCAGCCACGTTCAAAGATTTCCAGTCAAATTGGTAAATTTTGCAGTATCAACTTATGCTCACTTTTCTACGTGTTGGATTTCAATCAATATTTTCAGTGCTATTACTGCTCGAAACGAATATCTTCTAGCTCAACTGAAGACGTTTTGGAAACCTTTCATACTTTAAGGTAAATGGGGAGTGAAATTTATATTTCAAGCGGAAATCCATCATTTATTTATTATTATTATTAGTCCCTTGGGTTCCTAGTGGAACATAGGGCTTCAGTAGCACGTCTCCAGTGACCTCTGTTCTCTGAGATCTTTTGAACCTGGTTCCACAACAGCCCACTAACTCTCATTTCCTCCTCGCACGACCTCCTCCATGTCACCCTCACCACGGACGGCTAACTCGTCGCTTCCCCTGGGGATTCCACTCGAGCAACTGGCCTGACGCGTGATGTCCCCAATCGGCCTTCTCAGTGCATGCCCAATCCATCTCCACTTCCTTCTGCATATTTGTTGGGTGAAAGGTTCTTGGTTGGTTCGTTCCCAGAGCACCTTGTTGCTTATTCTCATTATTCTGACCATCTGATCTTCAGTAGCGAGCCAGAGTAGGCAGTTGTTGATGAATGTCTGCAGTTTATCGGAAATCCCATTCGTGACGCTCCAAGTCTCTCAACCATTCAGAAGCACTGACTTGACTGATGTTGGTGTTGAAAATCCGGATGTTGTTCCACATGCTGAGTGGAGTGCAGAAGATCTCCACACTGGTTTCAGACTAATCAACGCCTGTCTTGCTTTTCCGATTCTGACTTTGACGTCTTCGCCCGTCCCGCCTGTAGTTGAAACAGTTCTTCCTAGATAAGTGAAGGAGGTTACTTCCTTTAAGTTTCTCCCATTGACGGTGATTGGAATTTGTTGTTGTTGGAGTTGTTGGTGGTGCGGTATCTTCATCACCTCTGTCTTCTCTGTATTCAGTTGAAGTCCCGTCTTCGCTGCCTCGCCTCTTCTGTCAACTTTTTGGTTTCCTCCTGTAGATCGAGTTTGTGTGACATCATACACAAGTCATTGGCAAAGTACAAATCTTCTAGGTTCTTTTCCGCAGTCCAGCTGGCGTATCCCCCTCTTCTCACAGCTCCCCACTGTTGTCTGCTGCATGATCCAGTCGACCACAATCGGGAATATCATGGGGGATAGTAGGCAAGCTTGTTTCACTCCTGTCTTCACTTCACTTCAGTGACATCACTGAGCTTCCCATTGTGAATTACTTAGCATGTGAAAATCCCTCAACTCACAGTCAATCCAATACGTATGACAAAAATGTATAGCACTCTACGTTCAAAATGTCATTAGGTATGCAGTAATCAACCTGATATTATTGTGTGATGGTCTATTGTGCCAAACTCATATAACTTAATCGAGCAAGCTAGCTCCACACAGAAAGAAATCTAAGAGCAGGAGGAAGTAACCAACAGTACTCGAAAGTTAAAAGAAGTGAGAGTGCGGGTTGTAAAATAATAATGAAACCTGGTATGAAAATTGACATGAAGATAATGTTTGTGGATACAGCTGTGGCATTGAGTTGGACTATGAGTCCAAATTACCTGCAATCGCTTTTCATAGGTTTTGTATTTCCACGATGATGGCAATCAGGAAATCTGCATCTTCCTACACGACGCACATCAATACCGACTTCATGAACTGATGCAATATTTAAATCTCTTATCATTTTCACTGGAAACCTACTTCAGCTAACATTTCACATCACGCTCAACGTTGCAATGTATGTATTATTCGCCCTAGTCATCTGAGTAAGTTGAGGTTAGTTTATGGACCCGGTGACTGACTAACTTCCTTTCCCTGAAACGCTACAGCTGACGTTTGTTTACCTAACTGATGTTGTGGTTTCACAAAAATATGAACTATGCCTGATAGGAACATGAAGCCCTCACGTGTCATCTACTCTCAGTGGTTATTGTTCACAGACGCATAACAGAAGAGAACAATACATCAAGTAACCGAGAGACAACTAAATATCACACTCCATCAGCACCAGAAATGGTGTAATTTTGAGAAAATCAAGTGAACCTCTTGTATCCTTGCACAGATTACGTTGTTACCTAACCAAACAAAGTTGCCATGACTTCCTAGACGAGTCGAAATTTTAACATGCTCAGCCTATTCGAACTTTATAGCTGGACAAGGTAATAATGCAGACCAATCTAGGAGCAGCAATTTCTACTCTGTTGGACAAAAACACAGTCCAACTCTTCTGAAATAATCCACTGCTTGTCAGCATCGTCATATAACACGGTCATTTCATGTACGTAATCTAAGTAGACTAAGTAGTCATTTGTGACACCATCAACAGTCCTGAGGTTAGTTGGGGATGTGAGAGAATCCATATAGACGTTTATGAACACGTGGAATGGGAATGAAGGGAGTAGACTGTTGATTCCAGTCTGTTAGACGCCGCGTTAAGCAACATCTCTCCCAAACCCGGAGTTTGTATTGGACAACAATAGATAGCCATCGAAGTATAACTAGGACATGCCATTTCCATTATTCATTCATTTAGTTTAGAATCTATAAAAGTGCCCTAACCCTCAGTCTGCTTGTCTTAGCCTATCTATATTTGCATTGAAATCATTTACGATGAAACTGTGTCTGAAGGTTTGACTTTCAGTAGGAAGCCATGCAGTTTTCCGCAGGAAACTCCTACAAATTTGCTTGTAAGGCCATGAAATCTCTCCGTCTAATCAGTAGAACCTTGAAGAGTAAATTTCCCAGATTCCCTTGATTTGGACATGTGAAGTCAAGTGTATATTTTGGTATCTCACCTGTACGGAATACTTCTATTTTATCCGAATGCTAGCATATGCCAGCAAATGCGATGATGAGTGTGATACACAAACTACAAATGCAGTAAATTATTCACAATAGTGATTTAAAATGTGATGATTTGGAGTAGAAGCAGACTACAGATGTCCCTCAGAAACATAGATTCCGTGGGGAAATGAAAGGAGATATCGTGTTGATTGCTCAAAGAGATACATCAACACGGTTACTTTATGTCGATATACTACAACATATGAAGCTGATATTCATCACCAATTCGTTCATCTGTAATCCCTAAATGGCATGGAATAATGCACTTTCAATCTGTAATTACACTTGGTCCACTGGTCAGCGTAATCAAATTTCTCTTTTGTTATTAAGGATATGAGCATGTTGAGGGGAGTTAGTTGAGTAAAATCACTTAGGCGTCTTCTAAGAAGCCTTGAATAGTTTCATGTTAACAAGAGATATCAAACGAGAGATGTAAGCCTAAGCATTTGTAAAGCATTGTTGACATTTAATAGGATGTGATATCAACTCACAAGATATTCGATATTACTCAGTCAGAATTCAGCAACTGAAGACTATCATTTGTCTTATTTATTTGAACAGAAAATATATTGCTCAAACTCATGGAACTCACTTGCACTTCCATCAACAACATTGAACACGGTAAACATCAAAATTAATGATAAAATGATACTGTACTGCTTCCTCATCCTATGGTGAGCTGATTATAAAATTATCCATCATCTTTCAGAGCTGCTTTTATATTTATTGACATGTGAAATCACATGAGTTTAACAGATCTATTCGTTACTCACTTTAGTTAGTACACCTCCTTTCAACATGTCGGTACACTATGAAAACGAAACTTCAAATCACTTTGTTGAATAGACAACAAGTTCACTTGTTATATCGAAGTGAACACGTGAGGTAGAATTTGGAGTGTATGTCTAAATAATTTTGCTGTGAGTGAGTGATTTGTGTGTGCATCTACTATTTCATTGACAAACAGTTTTAATCTAGTAGTTTGTGAACGTGAACAGAGGAAATGTTGAAAGGATCCCTTGTAGGTGGAATACTTGTAGTCGTTTCCATTTAGTAATCAAAAATTCATCGTCTCATTTGAAAACTACACTCAGTGTGATGTGAAAATATTCATGTATTTTGTGTTTGAAAAACATACTCTCTATTTTACATGCTTCACTACACCTGCCTTTCTGATTTCATCGCCACTGAGGAACCGCAAACATTTAGATGAAAAAAATACCTGCCATTTTAGCTTTTTAATTTTGCGAAGGCTGAAATACTCTGATATGTGAGTTGATATCACGTATTTTTCTATCTTGAATTCTTCCAATGAGAGTATCTTTGGAATGTGAAGTCGCTTAGGAGAAAGTTGATTCGAGCACACGGAAGGCGACATTTCTGTGTGACAGCTTCAACTTTCTAACACAATACTGATACATTTAGGTCCAAGGTGCCTCGAAGGGAGATAGAGACTCCTGGAAGTAAGTTGGCGAAAGAAGCGATGAATCATGGCATGAGGGGAACTAAAGGAGAATTATGATCAAATTGAGTATGAACGTTATGAAGAAGATAATGTTCAAGTGAAGCTGCACTAGTGAGATTAATTCTCAACTATTTCGTATGGAATCCCTTCCTATACCTCTCTGTTCGCAAATGGAAATCGAAGGGTGACTTAGTGTCTAAACTGCTGTTTTCACGTGAGGCTAATAATTGACACACAAAAGGGCTATCTTAGGGACTGTCTGTGTGACTGCTCACCTACTTATGCACTGTAATCTCTCACTGTAATAACCACATCTGAACAATTGAACTTCAATAGTAGGCCAGACACTTTGCGATAGAATTCATTTTCTATTTCCTTAAACTGGAGTCGATAGGTGACAGACCACAGATTTTATGGAGTCGACGAGGCGTCCCATTGCTTGATGTGGCCCTGACTACGTCATTCAGTCAAACAGCTCATAGTCGAGAAATAACGCTTTTAATTCAAGACGTAATGCTGAAGCTACCCATGCATTCAAGTCTATGAAAAGTAGTCATGGAATCTTTAGAAACCCTATGGGTTACTTCTGCTGATAAATAAAGTTGTTAGGATAAAATTAAGCGAATAGACACAGCTGAATCATGTATGAAAATCTCACGGACACAGTTAGTGTTCATGGAATTGGATACCAGAGTTTTGACTAGCAAATTCCGTCAAAATATAACAGAGAATTTAAATATTAAAGGCTATGTTGTTGCATACAATGAGAGATTCAAGAAGATCAGGCATGCTGTTCAACCAGCGTGAATCGTTATCAAGGAATGAAAATCTGGTCAACTCTGAAGATGAAGTAGGAATGTTGATCGAGCATCTTCAGAACACACTAATCATTGCCACACCGAACTTAAGCATGATTGCTGTCATCAGAATATGATCAAGTCAACTGTGCCTGAATATACTCATGCACTTCATAAATAGGGAATCCACTTTGGAACTCGAATCGATTTACAATGCTGAAGTCTTGTCGGCAGTGCAGTCAGAAGCATAAGAATTTTGCAGTCTCCTACAATTAGGAGTGAAGATCACAATCGGAAGCTCGGTGATGCTTTTGAAGTGAAGACAGGAGTAAGACAAGGCTGTCTACCGACACCCATGATATTCCTGATTATAGTGGACTGGTTTATGCAGCAAACAGTGAGAATCGAGAATAGGGGGATACACTGGAAAGGGGTAAAGATCCTAGGAGATTTGAATTTCACCGATGAATTACGCCTAATATCACACAAACTCGAAGATTTACAGTCGAAAGCTAACAAGTTGACAGAAAAAGAGTGCAGAGAAGACAGCACTTCAGGTGAATGTGGAGTTGACAGAGGTAATGAAGATACTTAACCAACGCCAACACCACCATCAACAACAAGATTCAGTCACCATCAACTGGAGAAATCCAAAAATGTAGCCTCTATCACCCACCTGACCATGCAGCACTGTTTCAACTACAAACTGCACAGACGAAGACGTCAAATCAACCAGCATCAGAAAGACAGCAAGACAAGCCTTCATTAAAATGAAACCAGTGTGGAGATCTTCTGCACTGCACTCAGCATAAGGCGTGATGAAGATCCGGATTTTCAACACCAACGTCAATTCACTGCTCCTGTATGGTTGAGAGACTTGGCGCGTTGAGAAAAGCATTTACAACAAACTACAGAAATTCATCAACAAATGCCTGCACTCACACGATACTGAAGCTCAGATGGCCACAATGATAAGAATAAGCAACAACGAACTCTGGATGGCTGGCAACGAACCAACGAAGTATGAAGCTATCGCTCAACAAATCTGCAGTGGAAGGAAGTGGAGATGGATTGGGCATAGAGTGAGAAGACTGACTGGGGACATCATGCACCAGGCTAGTTGGTCGAGTGCAACCCAGATGGGAAACGACGAGTGAGGTGTCTGAAGCGAGTGTGACATGGGGAGGTCGTGTGTGGAAGAAATGAGCGTTTGAGGGCTGTCGTGGAATTAGGTTCAGAAGTTGGCAGAGAAGAGAGTGTACTGGATATGTACTATTGAAGCCCTATGTTCCACTAGGAACCAAAGGGACAAATAATAATAAATAATAATGTGAACTAAGCGAGTGCGTAATCTATGTTATAAATGAATCGGAATCTGATGAACGTTTTTGAAAGTTTGTTGTCAATAAATTCTGCCGTCTCCAATAAATGGACGTTAGTGAAAAGAGGTGAAACATCACATGATATCATTCAATTATTATCAACTTTCAGATACCTAGTCTTTGAGAAACAAATTGAATAGCATCTTTGAGACTGCACTTAACAACCAATTTGTGGAGAGGCTTCAGGAGTTATGCTAATTATTTTGTGGTTGTATGATACGAGGAGTTTACCATGTTGAGGATTAGTGAAAAGCCAAAGATGAGGACCTAATTGAAAAAGAAATATATTTCTTCGCCCAATCACACTTTTAATCCTCAGAAACACAGATTCAGTGCCAGTGAGAATGTGAATCAGTTTTGTAATCAACTTCTGATTTTTAATTCGAAATAAATACCATACCACACTGTCAGGAATAGAGCGAATGTTGATGTTGCTAGCTACAGCTTTCTCGCAATTCAAAGACACGGTTTGCTAAGACACATTTGCAAGTTTCAGCGTTCATTGGTTTGTGTGTTTACAGAAGTTAACACCTGCTAATCTCATCAACCACCACAGAGTCTACACTAGCAAATGTTCGTTCATCAGCTATTTTACATCGTATCGATTAAGTGCGAATGGAAGTAGTATACCTGTCTTACTTGAGACTCATCTTGGTAATAATCTGTGTGTGACTGTATTTAGAAATTCGTGATATGTATTCTACTAAGAGGAGCTTGTCATCAACAGTGATGAGTGAAGAATCAGTACAGAAATGGAGATAGATGTTTCTTTAGAAAGTACGACTCCAAACTTCTACACAACTTTCATATTCTCTCTTAGGAGACGAATATTATAGGTGAGTTTGTTAGTGTCATTCTTTAGGAATCGAATTCACATAGTAATACAGTTCACCTTGACAGATGCATAATGATTGCCATCAATATCCATGCAGAATTTCTTTTTCTGAAGGTAAAAAAGAGATATGATAATAATTTATTCAAACCAAGTGCAACTTAAGGTGACCATCTATGAGTCATATCTTTGTGGCAAAGTTCATTGAAATCACTTGACTAGGGTAGATTTAGTACATGATAAGGAAAGTATCAGAAATCGATATTGATAAAAAAAACAAGGAAAATGGAACTGTAGAACTTAATACATTTTAATATCATAGAGTCATTTCTTTCTTTCAGTTTAAACATTCAGAGGTTAAAGTATCAGTGATAATCTTGACAACACTGATTGAGCAAACTTGAGAAACAAGTAATCTGTGTGAATTTCTTCTTACGCGGTTAGTAGTTAATTGTCATGATAACCATTTACGTGATTTGTCTTTTACCCTATCATCTTATTTTTGCTGGTTGCAAATATTTTCCGCTGCTTGTTCTTGATTTTTCTCGTGTTTCTGTTTACCAAAAAAACGGTTTTGCTCAGTACCTGTTGGAGGCTGAATGAACTAAGTACCAAAAAAAGTAATATAAATGATAACTATAAACCTGAGAAGCAGAAGTTCCACGAGTTTGCCAGCAATCTAAACATACAAAGCAGTTAATTCTCTTTTTAACCAGAGACAGAAAAGCAAAATCGAGAAGAAACCTTCATACATATATTCCATAAATCAATTTAAAAAAAGAGCCTAAAGAAAACGGATCCACTACATTATTTCGTTAATTATTGTTAGCTTCTTACAATAAAATATTCGCCTACTTCAGGTCAGTTAGAGCGCAATAATAACACAGCAATGTAAGGAAATTATCCACATGGACATGAAGTCAAAATCTTATTTCATTACGTCATAATCATGCATCTCATTAGAACGTAAGTTTTCATTAAAACTTGAAGTAGTAATAATGTAGAATTTCGAACAAGACCAAAACAAGACGACCAGCAGATAAATGAACAGTGATTGGAAATCAAAATATGATAGTTTATACTAAATGGAACTAAGCTGATTAAGATTGGAGTTTCGAATGGAATGATAAGACAAGTATGCAATCAACTAAAT